CTGGGTCTGGGACTCTGCAGGGGACATTTTGCTCTGCCGCCTGGCGTCCTGTTTGATTTTGCCAGCAGAGGACATGAGAAGGAGGTCGGGGCAGCAGGAGGAGGAGGAAGGGACTTAGTCCTCCCTGGTGCTCGCCGGTCCTGCTGGCATCACCCAGCGACAGCCATCACCCCCTGCCAGCGGCTGGTCCACGCCGGGAGGGTCCCGCCCTGTGCTGGGGACAGCAGGCCTCGCGCTCTAAAGACCCCGCCCTGGCCTGGCCCAAAGCGGGTGCGCCCGCACAGGGTGTGGCTCGGTTTGTAGAATCAGGAAAAAACCCGGCTCTGCCAACCAGAAATCTGGCACCAGCCGCCACAGTCTCTGCCCCAGTCTCCAGATAAAAGTTCAAAGACTCCAGGTGTCATGTTAAAGAGGAAGCCAGATGCCCTTGAACAAGGACCCTGCGATGCCACCAGAACTGTCCCGATACTAAATGTCCTACTCACGCTAAACACGCTCCCAGCCCTGCCCAAGGTAGCCTGGGCCATTCGCCAGGGTTGACTGTGCCCTGGGGAAAAGGGGGACAGACAGATGTTTGGGGCGGTCAGACAGGGCATCTGAACTGCTACTGCCACCAGACAGGAGCTCTGCAGTGTCATCGTGGGCCTCTGCCTGCAGAGTGGAGGCCACGGGACGGACGGCGCTGCGGCCCACGTCCTTCTGCCGTGTGTCTGCCGCGTCTGTGGATCTGTCCTGCGTGGGGAGAGGTGGCCGTCGCTGTAGCAGACGCTCCCATGGGCTGCGTGGCCAGCGGAGAAAGGCTCCTCATGGTGGGATAGTCCAGGGGCGGCCTCCGTCCAGCAAGAAGGCCAGTGCCGGGGGCCTCCTAGGACGTCGGGGGGAGCCCACGCCCCAGCTGGAGACACTGCTGCAGCCCACTTACCTGCACGCCCGGAAAGCGAACAGTCTCCAGGGGACCAGAGGTTGGGGTTCAGGTGGGAGCTGCTGGCCGCGTGGGCCACAAGGTCGGTGACCCCACATGTGTGGTGTCTGTGGCAGAGGAGCCTCGGGCAGCCCCAGGGGGAGAGTCGCAGCGTGGACCCCCAGGTCCAGGAGCAGGGCCTCGCCACACGGTGGGGAGCTCTTCCTCGTGTGACGCCAGCTCCTGGCCTGCCCCTGGCCCTGACGGAGCACTCCCCAGAGTCGCGCCTCACGGGCCGCGCCACCTCAGTGCCACCGAGTCACAGCATGGGCAGCACAGCAGCAGCCCACTGTGTGACAGAAACCAGGCATCGGGGCCAGGCAAGCTCCACGGCTGACATCCTCACACGTTCCTCCTCTTCTGGAGCGCTGACACCTCCTGGGAGGGGAGTGGCTGGCTGTGGAGAGGGCTCGGGCAGGACACCAGTCCCCATGGTGGCACCAACTCCACTTTGACCGTCCCCACATTACAGCACTGTGCCAGGAGGTCCTGATGGGCAGCACTGAAGGACAGTCCCCAGTGGGCACCTAGTCACCCACCTCCTGTGGACAGGAAGGTGGCCTGAGCCGTGCTTATGACTGACCCTGGGCACAGGTGAAGGGCTGTCCTGTCTCATCAGCTGACGCAGAGATCCAGGTAAAGGTTTGGGGATGAGCCTGTGGGTGGGGGGTGGGACCAAGCACGTGGGGCTGGCTCTGTGTCTAATGGTGATGCCACCAGAGTCCACTGCAGGGGGAACCTGACAGCCAGGTGGACATCACGACTGTTCTGGGGACATCGGTCAGCAGGCCCATGATCAGAGTGGTCACGGTGGCAGGGACAGTGGCCACGGACAGTGGCCATGTGAGCCCCTCTTTTCAAGACTGATCTAGACCAGACGCTGTCCCCACCAAGCAAACCTGCTTTGCCAATTCACACCATGTGGCTAGTGATTTGGACAGATGAGGAGAAACTTGGAGAGAACAGGGCTCTGATCCGGCAAATGGACTGGAGGTCTCACTCCAAGGGCTCAGGAGCCACGTGGCCATGGCCGCAGGGTGCAGCCAGAGCAGGTTTTCTGTGACACCTTCAGCTGTGAAGGGGACACATTCATTCTGGCTGAAATAGATGTTCCTACTGAATTGACAAATTCCTTCCTGCCACCCCCTGTACACACAGCCCCAGCACCCCGCAGGGCACCGTGTCAGAGGCAGGACCCACTCTGTAGCAGCGAGAGGCCCTTGAGCTCACCCCAAGGGTGTGTTCACCCCACGTCCCACAGAGCAGTGGCCTTGTGGAGAGCAGAAGGGCCGGTGGGGGCTCGGGTCTCCTGTCCTGTGAGGTCGGGACTGTCCTAGTGGAAGTGCAAGAGCCCGCTCCCCTCTGCAGAAGCTCACTGGGGACCCCAAGCCTCCTTTCCCTGACACTAGAGCAGGGCCGGGACCCCTCGATTTCTCTCCATTTCTCTCCAGGGGTCTGCATCGGGACACAGGCACAGTTAGAGCCCACTCTCAGTGGAGCTGCAGGGCCCAGAGGCCAGAGCGGTGTGGGCCTTTAGTGACACAGGGACATTCCAACCAGACTCTTTCTGGGGCTGACCTTGTGCATATTCTCTGCTTTCTCTCATTTTTCCTCTTTTCTAAGCCCGAATCTCCAGCTACTGAATATCATTCCAGTACATCCCATTTCTGCTTAAATTTCATAGACCCTGTTTCCCCCGTGCACAGGGCAGAACTCTTATCAGTAGGTCAGGTGAATACAAGGTCTAAAAACGATCCCTGCTACTTTCCAGACCGTGTTCCACCCCATCCTCAGGAAAAGGGTCAGCTGCCTGTACTGGCACCTAGGGTGGGTACAGAGGTGACTGGAAGTGCTGGGATTGCGCAGGTGACTGGGAGTGCTGAGGGTGCCCAGTTGGCTGGTGGTGCATTGGGGTGGGGGTGGGGGGTGCCCAGGTGACTGTTGGTGCTGATAGGTACACTGGGGACTGGTCGTGCTGGGGGTTACACAGGTGTGAAGGTTAATTCTAGGTGTCAGCTTGATTAGATTAAAGAATACTGGGAAACCTGGTAAAGCTATCTTTTCAGGTGTGTCCATGAGGATGTTTCCAGAAGAGATTAGCCTGAGCAGCTGAGTTGACTGGGTGGGACAGATCCGCTCTTATCTTTTTTTTTTTTTTTTTTTTTTTTTTAAACATGACCGGTAAGGGGATCTTAACCCTCGACTTGGTGTTGTCAGCACCACGCTCAGCCAGTGAGTGAACCGGCCATCCCTATATGGGATCCGAACCCGTGGCCTTGGTGTTATCAGCACCGCACTCTTCCGAGTGAGCCACAGGCCGGCCCATAGATCCGCTCTTAATATGGGCGGGAACCATCCAATCCATTGGGGCCTCAAAGAGAACAAAGGGAGGAAAAATGTAAATCTGTCTATCTGCTGGCGCTGGGGTAGACTCTGCCCCCCTGTTTGTGAACAACAGAGCTGGAGAGTCTTCAGCTTTTCTCTTCCAGGAGTTACATCAGCAGCATCGTCCGCTTCCCTGGCTTTAAGGCCTCTGGAGCTGGACTGAGCCACGCTATCGGCCACCAGTGTGCAGGCGCCTATCGTGGGACTCCTCGCAATCGGGTGAGCCAATTCTGCTGACAAATCCCCTCTCACATGTTTGTAAACATGTCCTATGGTTTTGTGTCTCTGGGGAACCCTGACTAACACGAGGGGTGCCTGGGGCTGGGGGCTGGTCTCACTCGTGTGGTATCTACCGTAGTCCAGTTCATAAGGCTGGTTGCCAGGGGCCGCTGGAGGGACGGAGAACTGTGGGTTAGTGGGCACGACGCTTCTGTGTTGCAGGGTGAAGGGTTTAGAGACTCAGCGCACCACGTGCATGCACTCAACGCTGCCGCAGTGCATACTTAAAAACGGTTAAAATGGTCAATTTTGCTACCTACTATTTTTACCGCATTAAAATAAAACCTGCCGGCGGGCTCGAGGCGGCCACCCCAGCCCACACGTGGAAGGACGGCTGCACGGCGACGCTCGCGAGCGGCCACAAAGAGGGCAGCAGGCCCCGGAGCGCCGAGCGCACGGAGAAGGGGGACGGAGTCCTCCAGAGGAGCAGGCGGCGGCGGGGGAGCGGCGGAGCCGGGGAGCGGGACCCAGGGGCGAGGGCCCGGCAGGCGTCACACCGGGGCGCTGGGG